GGAACTGGGGGACCTTTTGGTGCCCATCAAAGACAGATCACATGGGGACATCACATGTACCCCAAATCTTTTACAGCATCTGGCTACCTACTCAAGGTGATGTGGGCATCGAGAGAATGGCAGAGAAGACTTGTGGGCCAGCTACACCTGAGCTAAAGAGAACTGACAACCTAATACATGTGTCCCCATCACCACTAAGCTCACTCAACTTTACCTCTTTGTTGCTGGTACTTTGGTGATTTTTTTCCACTTTCACTCATGCATTAGATATTTTTTAAAATTTATTACTACTATAACAAATACTTGGGGGAGGAATTAAAAGACACTATTTGCCCCAGGGGTACCGTGTTTCTCAAAAGATAAGGTCTTGCTCTCTTCGCTGAACTAATAAAGCAGGTGCTTTAGAAAACACATTAATGTGTTAGACCAGGACACAATTCCCACCATAGCACATCTTAAATCATACCCTTGAGCCCTGAAGAATTAAACATAGAAAGGGAGGAAGGAGGAAAACTGAGCAGGATAAATGCTAACTGAATAATTGTTAATTGTACTTGAAGTGTTTATTCTTTGGAGAATAACTGGCTTTATTAAGAAGGATGGCAGCAATGCAAAACGAGTTTATCTTACTTACTCCACAAAAGATTAAATTTTTCTCTCCCTTTATAAAATTTTAAGAACTTAAAATTTAAGTTTTTGTGGAATTCAATTTACTGATTATAAAGTATCATTAAATCAAATTAAGTATCTAAAATATGCATGTTAATGACTCTCTCAACAGAACTTTACTGATAGTACTTTCTTCTTAAACATAAAATATTATCACCACAGAAAATGAAATTTCATTTCCTCAAAGCAGATAAAGAGCAAACATATTACTCCCATTTTTATACACTGGAAATTTCAGTAGAGGAAAAACTCTGTGAAATACATCAAGATGGTAAGAGAGTTTACAGAAGCCATACTTTCTGCTTTGTAATGATTAATCTACACATAACATAGAACACTTCTATTTCAAAGTGGGCCAAAATAGACTGTGGACCAACTACACAACTATGGGAGATTTATACCCATTAAGTCAGAAAAAATAAGACTAGCACTGTTGGAAATATTCACTAAAGTGATATCAGAAGATATTCACTAAAATTATGTTAGACAGCCCTGGCCAGTGTGGCTCAGTTGGTTGGGCATCATCCTGTGCACCAAATGGTTGCCAGTTCAATTTCCGGTCAGGGCACATGCCCCAGTTGCAGGCTCCATCCCCAGGAGGGGGCATGCAGGAAGCAGCTGATCAGTGCTATACTCTCACATTGATGTTTCTCTCTCTCTCTCCCTCTCCCTTCCTCTAGCTCTCTAAAAATCAATCAATAAATAAAAATTTTAAACGATGTCAGATAGAGAATTTATTTTTTTATTATTATTTTTAATCCTCACCCAAAAGAGAAACAGCAACGTGAGAGAGAAACAGCAATTGGTTGCCTTCCGTACACACCCAGGGATTGAATCCACAACCCAGATATATGCCCTAATAGAGAAATGAACTGGCGACCTTTAGGTGCACAGGACGATGCTCAACCAACTGAGCTACTCCGGCTGAGCAGACAGAGCATTAATTAATTACGTTCTCATAACTATGTAAGTCTTTAACTTTGAGGAACAAGGGTCTACTCTTCCAGGGACATTTTTTGGTCATTTTTAAGGCTCTGTGTGGCAGGGGTTGTGGGGCGGACTTTTTAGTATTTAAATCAAGCAATACTATTTCAGTGAGACGGAACATGTTATAATGTGACACCCAGGCTACTGCAAATTCCTGACCTCCAAGGTCTGAAACAAAAAGTCAACTTAATCTATGCAGTATTTGAAAATGAAGACATTGACATTTCCTCTTCTTATAGGCAAAGAGCAAGTAGGAGAGAAAGAAATTTGAAAGAACCATTTACACATGACTCTATGGCAACAGAAGTCAGAATAGTAAATACCTTTTGCTGAGAAGTATAGTTGACTGGGAAGAGTCGTCACAAGTGAACTTTCTGGAGTAAGAGAGATGTTCTGTATCTTTATCTGGGTAGTGGTTCCATGAGTGTAAACATAGGTGAAAATTCACTGAGCTACACACTTTGACTTATGCATTTAATTTTATGTAAATCATACCCCAATTTAAAAAGTAAATGCATCCAATACAAGTAAAGTACTGCAAGCAGAATCAAGGGTAAGAATCATGAAATCAGAATGCTAGGGAAAAAACTGACCTTTTTAGGATCTAGCACAGCAGGGTATATAGTTAATATGTATTATAAAAATTTAGTACAAATATCCCAGATGGTTTGGAAGATCCTTTCTGAACTAACAGCTTTAAAAAAAAGAAAGCCAAAAATTTGCATGACAGTATTCTGTCTTCTGAACAACATTCTGTCTTTTTGGTAATCTGGTAGCTATGGACACCAAAAGCAACCAGAAGTTTTCCACGTAGCACACTGTGACATTATCAAAAGATCAGGTTTGATAATCAAGAAAGGCTGTGTCCATTTGGTAAACCTTGCCAGACTAGAGTTCCTAGTCCAAGAACCCAAAGACCCCCACACTGAGTTTTAGCTTCCATTTTCAGCTACACAAATAATAAGACTAATTTTCCTTTAGTAGATAAATATTTCTGTCCATACTTAGGTTCCTACATAAACAAAATTCCAAGACTAAAATGAAACTGGAAGGTCTTTGCCTCTTAATAATCTGTTTCTACTTCTGGGGTGACAATTAAGGGGACCAAAGTTTAGATTTTTAGCATACTGATTTTCAAGCTGGTTATTAAGAAACAAAAGAACATTTGACCCTCCCCCCTTTCCTGTCTAAGAGATTCTGAGGGAAAGACTTACTCCAGGAAGGAAATCTTAGGATGTTCGCCTTAGCAACCTAATTTGAACTGAGTATGGTGGATAGGAGTACATCAAACAGGGGCCTATTTACTAGATTGACCGGTGTCTCATTGTTTCTGGGTTGCCTAGCAAAAAATTACCTGCCATGTGTGTTCTGCTCTTCCTCAATTACCTATAAATCATTCTCACTTCTGAAACCTAGGATCTCATCCCCCCAATTTTTCTTTGTCCAAAATGTCATACATACCCAATTTTACCTCACTATCTTTAGAATTTTCATACTTATGTGAATTCCCCATGAGCATGTATTAAAATTTTATTTTCTCCTGTTAATCTGGCTCTGTTAATTTATTAGTCCAGCTAAAAGAACTTAGGAGGTGAGAGAAAAAATATTATATATATTTTTATCCCCCACAACAATAATTCTAAATGTACCATTAAGTGAACTCAAAAACTATTTTTAAATTATTAGAAAATAATATTGTCACATGCTAAATGAGACACTGCATCTCATTGTTAAATATATATCCTGACCCTGATTAGGAAATGTAATTTCAGAAATGGGAAGCAAAAATATCAGCTCTTTAAAAAAGCCAATCAAGAAACACAAGAACAGATTATTAGTGCTACTGAAACACTAATATTCTATAAAATCATCAGCTGTGCACAAATAGTCACACTGCTCACCTGAGATCAGAAAGAAAAAGTCAAATTACAAATTTGTAAGAAATCTGTTTCTTAAATTTCTGCCCAAGCCCCTTACTCCTCTCAAAGATATAGTGTCTTGCCAATTTTTAGTGTTCTAGGTCAACAGGTTGAGTCTCTTTAGAAATTCTTAATTGTCACCTTTGCTTATAGATATGACCAAATATTCTGAGAGCCTGTACAACTGCATTAACAAGTTATACTATTCTATAACCAATATTAAATAATCCTAAATTACTTAGGCTGACCATTATTTTATAAATAACCAATTTTAGCTGTCTACAAGTACTGTCCAGCCCAGCCCATTCTCTACCAAAGCAATTTCATTAGATACATTTTAAAATAGATACAATGCTGCTGGACTGTGATGCTAGCCAGCATATCAAAATTGAAGCCATTGTGCAAATTTAAAATTCCTTCTTCAAAAATAAAGCATATTTCTTATTCTTTTTTAACCCACATGAAGTGTCTATTCCTGTTTTTATGAAAGTATGGAAGAAGCCCTGGCAGGTGTGGCTCAGCTGTTTGGGCATCATCCCTTGCACTGCAATTCCAGTCCAGGCACAAGCCCTGGTGCAGGCTCGATCCTGGG